TATTCGCAGCGCGCAGAGTAGAAGCTGAAACCAGACTGAAAGAAAAAATTAATAAAGAAAACCTAAAAAATTTAATAAGTAATAAGAATAAAAAACAAGATTTCGCAGAATATTGTAGGTCCCTGGCCAAAATAGTAATAAATAGAAATAAGACATAGAATTCTAGTCATGAAAACAGTTTTAGTCATTTATCTATTTGTATTTAATTTCATATCTTATTTTACCTTGCCATTTTATTGTAAATTTTATTTTATTATTTTAATTTAATTGTAAGTTTATTTTTTGAATTGTAAGTGCAATATTAATTTTGTCATTTTATTTGTTAGTAATATTTTCTAGTCATTTTAGTAATTTTAACATAGTGATATAAATCTAGTCATTTTAGTAACTTTAGTGTATAGGCAATTAGAAATCTTAAAAAGTTGTAAGTAATTTGTAGATATTTGTAATTTATAGTAATTTCACAATAAAGAAAGAAACGTTCCACCCGCACCTAACGTCCCTATCCCAAAAATATGCTAGGGGAAAGAGTAAAAAAAAAAAAAAAAGTTTACATATTTCCGCATGGCGTAGTTTATCTCTACAACGTGTTTGATGACTGACACAGTACACTGGTTAACGCAATAACGTTTTATTGAGCCTTGTTTAGACTTGTATACCCAACTAATACTGCCATATTGATATTTAGAGCGCGTATTCCTTCGACTAAACTATCATAACTGTTAAGTCGCGCTTCGATTTCTATGAGCTTATATAGATTTGCACACACGATTTTTAGTTGTGCAACTAAACAGTTGAAGGCTGCGACACAATCGACAATCGCACACCAGTTAAGCGATAGTTTAGTCAAAGGTCTCGCCCGCTCTTAATTTCTATGTCCGAGAAAACGTCTGATATCTAAATACGTTTTGAAGTTGTTTACTAAAATGGAGTTAAAAAAAATAGTCTATGTTACAAGTCTTTGATGTGAAAAAGTATAGCTAAACAGAGTACTAATCTTTCGTGGAAATATGACTAAAAATATTTGGGACACTGAATTTTAGATAAGAATAATGCCTAAACCCGCAGTCACGCCGGCGTTTTAAAACGCTCTACGTCAGCGTTTCGTTCGTCCGGCGCTCAAAAACAACAATGCTAGAAAAAAACGCGTTTTAAAACGCTGCCGTATGAACAGATATATGGAAGTGCATTTATTATGTTTGGGATTTATGCGTATTTTTAACGCGCGTTAATAAGGCGCCCGTGTGAGTGAAGGCTAATATTAAATGTCCAAGTCTATTGACGTCAAAACTAGTAACCCTTTTGAAAATTCCAAAAACTTCCACAAACCAGTATTTAAAAACGTATCGTTTGGTTTTTCGTTATAACTAGCTGTTGCTCGCGACTTCGCCCGAGTCAAATTGAGAAATATAGCCTATGTTACTCACTGCTAACGTAGCTTTTTAATGGTGAAAGAATTTTTGAAATTGGTCCAGTACTTATTTAGCTACTTACATAAATACAAATCTTTCCTCTTTATAATATTAGTATAGTCTACCTTTGATCACTTTTACTAGATGTTTTTGTAGTAAATATACTGGAAGTAACCTTTAGAGTGTTCACTATACTTTTTCTACTTTTATAGCAATTTAACTTTCTCTTATGAATAGTTTTCTAACTTTTATCTACATTAATTACTTCCAAAGAAAACCTAAAGGTAAAGTTTTGCAGTCAATATAGATAAGGTTTTATTAGGTAAAAGAATTCTCTGTGTTTTCAAAAGATGTCACATATAAAAAAGTTACTATTTTTCTATTTAAATCCTGAGGGTCTTAAGGGTCCCTTAAGGGTCAAAATCAACCACTCTGTCTCACTGCACGTTGACTTCACATATATCTTTGAATATCTTTTGCAGCAGTTTGCATCACGATGTTTTCCGTAACCGTAAGTCGGTGAAATATACATTCGAAGTTAGAAAATCAAAAACATCAATGGTAATAAAACACGATTCAACAAGCAAGCTTTTTCTCTCGTGTCGGTAAAAAAAAAAGCTAAACTACATAGTGGCCAGTGCTATCAGTCTAATCGATTTGAATTTGGAACATATCGTGTCAAAGGGAGTTTGTTAGCACAAACACTGGCCTCCTTTACGTACGTGCTCGGTTCCCGCTCACGTCAGCGAAGCGTTTTCAAACTGCACAATTTCCTTCGTGGAAACACGTTGTCTGGCGAAACGCGGAGGAAATAAATGGCATTCGAGTTGTTCACTCGCTTTCGAATCGATTTTACTACACTCGAAAATGCGAACTTTCGAGAAATTTAATTTTGAATACAACTATTCAAAATGGAACAGATTGACTTGAACATCGAAATTTAAAAAAGAAATCTATTATAGACTAAGATCTCAAAGCTGCAAAACATACGTCTTTTAGCAAACCTCGAAGTTTAGATTAGTAAGTTTGTTTTTTTTTTTTAAGTGTAATGTATTACGCAGGTGATACCGGCAATGTTCCACACGGCCAGCATCTGGTTAACGCTCGCGTTGGCCGTGCAGCGATACATCTATGTCTGCCACGCGCCCGTCGCCAGGACTTGGTGAGTTCGTTACACAGCGTGTTCACAAATACAAAAGCATAGTAAACACAATTACAAAGAGTGTTCAAAAATAACAAAATACAGGACACACAGAAATTTAATATAGTATATCTTTTTATGTGAAAATGTAATGTAGGAATTATAACAACTTTATTTTATTTTTTATTTGTGAAATTCTTAATTGCAAATGTCAATATTCAAATGACACCCTGCTTCCTTGATATTGGCAGCTTGTAGCTTATGGTCCCTGTCCTAGATTTGGGGTTTTTCTTTCAGTTTACCCCTTAACTTTAATAGCATGATAATACATAACCTTAAGCGTAAGTGTAGGGCTTTTTATTAAAGAAAGAATTATTCAAAAATATGCTATGATTGCTGACATCCTATGCCACGAAGTAGTGTGTTTACGCTTTTTTACATTTGTATAGAAGTATAATTTTATAGTCTACTTTATGTAGTACTAGCTTTCGCTCGCGACTCTGTCTGCGTGAAATTAAAAAAAAGTGTAGTAACCTATGTTTTATTCCCGACTATCCTCTACATATGTACCAAATTTCACTGAAATCCGTTTAGCAGTTTAGGCTACAAACTAACATCCATCCATCCATCTAAACCTTCGCATTTATATACAAGATAAGATATTCACGACCTTTCAAAACAAACATCCTAAAATGTATTAAGATGGAGATACAAAATGTCAATATTCTGGAGCGATATTAAGTGAATTATAAGATCGTGCGCTTTAGAATGTTTACACAGGGCCTGGCATTAACGAGCACTGTATATTGTGAATGTAAACATACTTCGATTAATCCTATTAATGTAACGTGTATTTCACACAGCTTGCAATATGGATGATAATTTTGTAGGGCAAACTCTCTGACTATTGAAGCCCCGAAATCAATATTAGATTTTAACATCGATCTGAAGATTATTATTAACTAGCTTTCGCCCGCGACTTCGCCCACGCTATATTAAGATAAAAAGTAGCCTATATTATGCCCGTCTATGTGAAAGTCCGGTCGAAGTCCGCCCAGCCGTTTCGTAGATTACCCGGAACGAACGCGGCTTGTGGACAGACAGACAGACAAAAGATGTTTAAATGAGATTTTCGTTATCAGCAATGCAAATACATCATCTTCTCGAAATCTGGAATTTTTCTTTGGATATTGCAAACAGATAGATTATCGTACAAATATATTCCCTATCTTACTTCTTACTTACTTAAATGTTTAGATGTTTGGAGTTTGTAGCCTAAACAGCTGTATCTCGATGAAATTTGGCATAGATGTAGAGGATAATCTGAAAGAACATACTTTGGTTTGTTTTAATTCCACGCAGATCGAGTGGCGGGCGAAAGCTAGTTTAACATATTTTAAAAAATCGTAAAATCATTTACTCACAGATTTTGTCGTTCAAAATATAAATTTATTAATATTCATGGCATTGTTTATATTCGAATATTACAAAATGTTCCGTAAGTTGCCTATTGGCTTAATTCTAGCGTAAAAAAGCTGAAAAATGTATAAGGAAAATTTTACACATATTTCATGATTCAGGAAACTGGAACTGACAGATTGACGGGAGGTCTGTAATGTTTATTTTGGAAGTCTAAATTTTTTTCCATCTATACCAATATTGTAAAGGGGAAAGGTTTGTATTTTTGGATTTTCGATTCATGTAAAAACTACTAGGTCGATTTCAGAAATTCTTTCACCATTAGAAAGGTGATTTATCTGTGAGTAACATAGGCTATATTTTTTCAATAGTTGCCAGCAACAGCTCGTTCCAAAATATTTTGCTATACAACATCATGCACAAGAGAATATGCTTTCATATTTAATTTCTACAACGATATGTAGTGTCACCTAAACTTGATAGATTTTGCAGCATTTCTTGTATTTTATATATACTATCCGTTGTATTGTTTCAACTAGCTTACGCGACTCCGTCCGCGTAGAATTAAGAAACAATAGTGGCCTATGCGTTCTTCCAGACTATCGTCTACGTCTATGCCAAATTTGATCGAAATGCGTCCAGTCGTTTAGGCTACAAACTCTAACAAACTATCGTATTTATAATATTACTATGATTATATTCATCAAGATTGAATTCGGTAGCAACTGCCAAAATTAATTAACCCTGCGCTATTATCGAAAAATTTGGACCTATGTTTGAACATTGATAGAGATATGAGACTAAACATTGATATCAAACTGATATCAAGTGGTATGACGCACGAGTATGGCCGGCGAAATTGTATCGAGACACGTCGTAAATTATAAAGAGATATCGCAGATGTTAAAACATAGAGTAAGCTTTTTTATATACAACTTACTTTCGCCCGTGATTCCGTCCGCGTGAAATTAAAAAAAAACACAAGTGAGTAGTGAAAAGACATTTTAATGTACGAGAGAAGATGAATTAAACAGTGACGTATCGACTGATCTAATAATAAACTACCTATGTACTTTATACGATATTTTATAAAACTAAATCTTTATTTCTCTATGCCTGACATGTGCCTATGTGTTCTTCCAGACTATACTCTACATCTATACCAAATTTCATCAAATTCCGTTCAGTCGTTAAGGCTACAAACTCTATCAAACGTCCATCCATCCATCTAAACTTTCGCATTTATAATATTAGTTAGATATAAGTCGAAAACCAGCAAGCGACCACCTGAATCCGCCAAAATGGCGAAGCGTCCGCTACCCATAGACATTTGCAATAGCGGATGTATTGCCTTCCCTTAAACGACGGAGGAGGAATCGCACATAAAGAGGATATTTTCCCTTCCTATCCGTCTTCTGCACCGGCAAATCCACTTTCCCTTCTCACCCTTTTCGTATAAGAAAATTGGTGGGAAGGAAACAAAAGTTAGGCCTCCGGCACCACACTCATCAGACGAAGCGCGGAACTGCTCTCACTTCTCACCTGTTTTCTGTGTGGTCGTGGTATTACCAAGCGAGCTGGCCCATTCGTGCGAAGATGTTATAGCTGTCTCTACCACTAATGATTCACACTGATTCTCCTTGTTACTAGTGATTCATTAAAGAAATATTTTAACGAGTAAAAAAATCAAACTTTTCAATGATTCAAATTCGATGACTAAACAATTTCCGTAAAGTAGTTAAAATAATATTTCGTTGAATATTTATTTAAACCGTTTTGCTTACATGTTTACGGCAGTTGGTTTTATTTCGCAGATCCTAGCTTGTGATAACATCATAAAAATGTTTATTTTAATATATCGGACTGGGCTTGTTTATGTGAATTAATTTTGTTTATTTATTCACCAATGAATCCTTACGCATTACATTGTGTTGTAAGAAATGGTATTTTAATTTTAAAATGCTTGTTATAAAAACTATTAATAACTTAACTAGAGTTGGCTAGTGACTGACAGAATAACCAAAATTGGTAACCATGTGTTCTTCCAGACTATCCTCTATGTCTATGCCAAATTTCATCAAGATTCGCTCAGCCGTTCAGGCTATAAATTCTAACAAACATCCACCGATCCAACCTTTTAATCTTAGGTATATTCCAATTTTATCAAACTACTACAAAACTATTTTATTATTACAAGAAATATCAACTGATAAAACCACTCAAATTATGAAGTAATTAATGTTTGCACTTTATTTCATACACGTTGTTTTCTAATTTCTTTATTTCTGAAAACTATAACGGACATAGAGAAACGTCCGCGTGGATTAAAAAAACTGAGTAGCCTTTTCGTTCTTCCAGACTATCCTCTAAGTCTATGCCAAATTTCATCGTAATGCGTTCAGACGTTTAGGCTGCAAACTCTAACAAACATCCATCTAAACTTTCGCATTTATAATATTAGTATGATATAGAATTTCCAACGTAAGTCTTATTCCCAAATACATTTTCCAAATGTTTGCAAAACATTAATCAAGACCTCATTCAAAATCAATATAAAGCAATAAATCACGTAACTCGTAGTTCAATTATTTTTTCTCGTACTCGTTTCTATAAATTAATGCGTGTATCGGAAACTTCTTCACAGAGCAGTGATTGATTGAAGAGGAAACCAGTAACCCAGTTTCAGATTTATCCATCAAGTCTTTAATCAACTGAAAGTCGGAATTCAAACATAGATATGGGAGAAACGTATATTTCTTAATGTTAAGGAGTAAATTAGTATCGTGCTGTAGAATTTGCGCAACACTAGATTGTCGGTATTAACGTCACCTCCCTAGCTGACAGCTGTCAATGTCATTTGAAGGATTGATGATTCGGGCGCATTTCTGACGAGTTCTCTAGTTCAGTGTTTAAATTAATATCGCTAATTAAAATTATATTAACTGTTTAAAAATAACCAACACGTATCGTCAGATATTCACAATGTGTAATTAAAATTAATTAAGTATTAACCAGTCAGATTTCTAAGTACTGGTAAATAGTGAATAGAGTAGTCCCGTCAAAATCGGCCCAGCCGTTTCGGAGGTCACCCGGAACAAACGCGACAAGCAGACAGACAGACAAACATTTTTACATGCGATTTTTATCAGCAACGCAAATACATCATCTTCCCGAAATCTAGATTTTTTCTGATATTTCTAACAGACACTCCAATTTCCTTACATAACAATAAATAATAAATAAATAAGATCATTTCTAGTTAAATAATAAAAAAATAGTAAGGGAAAGACTTATTTGGAATACAATATGACCACGAAATGAGAGCACTCGTTCGCTTGTCGAGTTAACATGTTTATTTAGTGGTCGTTAACAGGGAACTAAAGTTTGCGGTCCACATACATGTATGTGGTTTGTTAGTTTATATCTACGCTATAATATACTAGTGAATCTATGCTAATGTAATAAAGGGTAAACACACTGCTTCGAGGCATAGGATGTCAGCAATCACAACATATCTTACTAATATTATAAATGCGAAAGTTTAGATGGATGGATGGATAGATGGATGGATCGATGGATGTTTGTTAGCGTTTGTAGCCTAA